GGTAGGAATAACGTGTCATGGAGGTATCTCAGTTGAATTACTTCTGTCTTTTTTTGTAGTCAGAAAAAAAGACGGATTTTCTATTTAATCTAGGTAGCTCTTTTAGAAAAAGCTTTTGCTTCAAAAAGTCATCACATGTAGTCCTATTATAGTGACATCATACTTGCTAGACAAGGAATAAGCTTTATATTTATGGCCTATTTCCTAAAAGAGCTTTGCCTAAGATATGGAACACAGAAAGATTTCCTAGCTAACTGTGTACCTTTATAGCAGAGTACTACAGAGATGAACTAAGGTTTGATTGGATTCAGGGATACTGGCCTGCTGGCCCTGAGGAAATACACTATTTAGTGGCATTAGAAAAAGCAGTTTCTGTATTGAAATACTTATTTTCTCGCTTGACCTCCATTACAGGGTTCTGAGATCAATATCACTGTTTAAGAAACAGAAAGAGCCAAAGAGAGGTTAAATTGGGCACAGTGCTGGTGTAGAATTGATTTACCTTGATGTGTTTCGGATCCCGGGGATGTTTGAACTTTTTGTACAAACACAATTTTGCCTGCCAGACTGGAAGTGCTTTCTGTTTTTTTCATCAAAAATCTTGGGCTCTCTCCCCAGAGATCTTCTCTGGCAGGGCCTTTTTTTTTTTTTTCTTAAACATTAGCTTTTGTATTCCATATGTAAGCAAAGAAGCAAAGTTCAGCTATGTAGGAAAATGTCATTCTGGAAAAAAAGAGACTAATTGTAAGACCAGATGGTAAGCATTACTCAGCTGATGGGGTGTGTGGATTTGAGGGAAGGTGTAGTAACATGATCTTGGTCTGCAGCTGTGACCTGTTGTTCTAAACAACCTCTTTGCTCCCTGCCTTTTGTATCTGCATTCCAGCACCTCTCCCTCCATTTTTGTGGGCATTGGGCCCTCCCAGATTGCTTTGACAGATGTATATGAAAGGGGTAGAGCTTATTCAAGGAAGAGCAACCTGCCCCCTTTTGTGTAGCCTCCGCCCCATGTTCCCTGAAACATTGGCAAATCAAACAGAATGTTCTGTTCACCAGGAGACAAGTTTCCCAGGACTCAGGTGACCATGAGCCTACCATGGTACCTTTAAGGTATCTCCATTTCATGTCTTGTGGACACCCCAGGTATCCTAGACCACAACATACACACAACATTCTTCTTACCTCCCCTAACAAAACACAAAACAACGCTTTCTCTAGTATTTCCTCCCACAGAGAAAGGTCCCAACAGTCTTCTTTCACTCAAATTGAAAATCTGGAAGCTATCCTAGATTCATCTTTCTCACTATCAGATGGAGTCATCTTCCTAAATACCTTTCCAGTCCTCCTACATCTTTTTCTCCAAGCTAGCGCCTGATATAGACTGTCAATATTGCTCTTCTGGAATTCAAAAATATGTGATTTTTTCCCCTTATCATAATCATTTTCTACCTCCATTCTGTCTCTAATGTTATATCTTAAATAAAATTTTGACCAGGGGCATGAAAGTCATTATTTCTTAGAAACTCTGCATGGCTAGGGGTGAGAACAAAGGCTGGACTGGAAAATATTTCCAGTGTTAGCCTGTTGTACCAAGCCTTCATGACCTTGGATATCTTATCTTCTACCCCTTCTGCTTCTGACTTTACAATAAATAATTATAACTATGTACTTCCTCTTACTTCATACTGTCGCATATCATTTTGTGGTTTTGTGCCTTGATCTGTAGGGGTTGCTTCATTAAAAATGCCCTGGAAATTAACTACCAAGAAACACTGTCTCTTCTGAGTATCATGTTATTTTAGTCCATATTGAGAGGTGTTGAATTGACTCTTGAGAACCTTGAAAATGATCTGGGCTCCTGTGTTTCTATGCGTTCCCTCTCTGTGTACCTTCTTACTTTCCTCCCCCATACACAACTGCAAGTCCTAAGATTCTTATCATCACAACAGTATACTCTCAGAGCTTTTCAAAATGCCAGGTCTTTTTGGTCTAATTCCTTTTTTCACATCCTGCTTGAGTCTGCCTCTCATGGTGGTGGCAGCAATATGTGGTGGTGGTCAGCTAGGTATGCAGTTAAAGAGGGCTTTTGCAAGTTGTATCTGAGTTGGATCCTCACCATGGCCTGTAGAGCAGGCAGGGAGCTATTAGTTCTTCACTTCGTAGATGGCTGAGGTGACAGGGTTGTGTCTGTTTTTGTTTTTTATTTATCACTGTGCCTTACATGTGTACCCTTGACTCTACAGACTACATGTCAGTAACATCCATGATACACACATCATCTTACAAGCCAGTGGAATTATGGTTGGCTACTTTCTTATTAAAGGGTCTTGCTTGTGATTTATCTGTGTTTTTGGAAGCTCAGGGGGAAGTTCCTGTTTCAATCAACCTTGGTTTCAGAATATTCACTCACTATGGTTTAGGAGCCTAACTACTTTGGAATTTTCCAGACCTCTGACTGCCCATCTGTAGTTCATTCTCATCTTTTGGTTCTTGACACCCAATGTGGAAAGGACTAGAGGAGAGGAGAGGGGAAAATTCTATGCAGTTGGTTTTGCATGTTGATTTCTGAGATCTGTACTGTGACACTGAAATTATTTGATTGAGTCTTAACGATAAAAACACAGTGTGGTTGGGCCTAATCATAATACTAAAAACTGTTCCTTTCAGTGGAGAAGGGAGAGGACTCTGGTTTCCTCAATGGAGTGTCCGCATGTATTAGCCCCGGTCAGGCTGTGGTGTTACTCACTTCCTGTACCCAGTGTAACAGGGCTCCTTTTAAGTTTTTGGGTCTAAAGGTAAGGTCCATAGGCTAGTTTCTGAGACGGTGGATCTTTTTGGGAAGATCTTCCTCATTTTGAACATTAATACTGGAAAAAAACCATAAACAATAAATGACTGTATTTGAATTTTTTCACCTCTGAATAAGTCAAACAGATTGACCAAGTATATCATAACAAGGAATATTTCCTTCGGGTGCCTGGAAGGTGAAAAAGATTATTTTATTTAAAATGCATCTATGTGCTGCTGGTGTCTAATCAAGCTCTGAGTTTGAGCTCAATTACAGCTTTGATAAAAGAAAGGAGAAAGGAAACTTGAAAGAATGCCCTTCTATTCACAAGGGGGCTGTGTGTGTTTTCAGTTTCCAAGTAAATGAATAATGGGACCATGCATTTTCCATCCAAGCATTTTCTACCCTGAGAATAATTCCCTTCCTGGCTTCTCAATGAATAATGCATTATTACTGAAACCCAAGAGGCATTCCTTTGATTTTCCTTTATGTTTAGCTTTCTGAGTGATTTTTCAATAAAGGAAATTCAAGGACTTGGAATAAATGCTTTATTAACATTTTTATTGAAGTTCAGATAGCTCCTTGGCTATTATCTCCTGATATTTGGAATACTATTTTTTTTTCTCCGAGGGAAATGTAAGGTATTGCATTTATGAGAAAGTGAAGCACCTTGGACAATCTTCAAAGCTAACAGCAGTTTAAGACCAATACGCATTTGTGTTGCAGAACAAAGAGCTTTCAGGGGGGTACTTTTCTCTTGGCTTTATTTTCATTTCTCTGCAGAAAAGTTTCAACAGAGAAAGCTCACAATCAAAACTGGGCTGTTTGGAGACTAAATCTCATAGTTTATCTTTTGGGAAACTCATTCCTTGAGGCTGGTCCGGACCCATGACTCCAGCCCAAGTGTACTCTGGAGTTTCCTCATCGACACTCCCCAGCCCGCTATTTATTTACCCGATTCTTACATGGACCCCTTAAGTGAGGTGTCATGGGACATGGTGGTGCCTTCCCGTCACCAGCCCTTTCAGTTGAGGATACCCAGCAGATACTAGGGTAACACACTGGTGGGTTCTAATGCCATTTCACAATCCTTCTTTCCCCCACATTCAAATGATGAGTGTTTTCAAAGACTAAATACAATGGAATTTAGAATATAATCTATATTTCTATTTCTCTTGCAGCTGCAGTAAAATTTTAACAACTTGGAATAGGAGAAGAAATAGGACAGAGTTGATCCTAAATTAGTAAAATGTGAAGCATAAATTTGGTTTAAAATATTAGATTTCATTAGTTTTGAGAGGTAGAAGTATATGATGCAGTGTTTTCTAGAACATGAACTCTGGAGCCAGTCTCCAAAAACAGAATCTGGACTTTGTCTCCTGTCACTTCCCAGTTCTGTAGCCATGGGCTAGGTATTCCAGCTTTGTCATGAGCTAGGTATTTAAGTCTTATCATCGGTACAGTGGGGCTATTAGTTTGTATGTCATATGGATATTGTACAGACTGTGTTATTTGTAAAGCACTATGTAAGTGATTGTTGAATAAATATAAAACATACCTCATTGTCAGAAAATGCTATTTCAGAACAGGCTGTTATTACCTGCTACTGAGCAGGTAGGTAATAATAACATTATTATTGTCATTGTTAATATATACTGAGTGGTCATTTTCTTAGCATTCATTTAATCTTGGCAACAAACTCATGAAGTAGATATAATCATCTCTATTTTTTCAGGTGAGAAAATAGGTAAAAAAGTAATTTGCCTATGTTTATCTATTTCATTAAATAGCAAAGCAAGGATTTGAGCCCAGGAAGACCAAAACCTGAAACTGTGCCTTAACTAAGCATGAAAGAGCATTTATCGTTAGTGCTTATCTTTTGCCTGAAAACAACCCTTTGCTATTAAAAACCATGTCCTCAGGACAGGTGGTGGGTATCCTGAATGTAGTTTTTCATGTCTCAGTTGCATGTCAAACTCTGTGTTTTGCTCAAAATAATCATGATCATTAACTCATAGTCAAATTTAGTAGGATCCAAATTGATGTGATGCTATTGTTATTAAAATTTTTTTCTGATTATTTCATATTTTACTGGTGGTTTCCAATGTGAGTGTTTTTATCTTGGTGTGGTGGTCACTTCATGGTTGTATGTTTCATAATATTTTTCATTCTCTCTTTTTATCCCTCCTGATTTGTCTCCCTGTCCTTGTAGGTGCCTTTATCATCTGCTGGACTCCAGGACTGGTGCTGTTGCTGCTGGACGTGTGTTGCCCACAGTGCGATGTTCTGGCCTATGAGAAATTTTTCCTCCTCCTTGCTGAGTTCAACTCTGCCATGAACCCCATCATCTACTCCTACCGAGACAAAGAGATGAGCGCCACCTTCAGACAGATCCTCTGCTGCCAGCGCAGCGAGAACACCAACGGCCCCACGGAAGGCTCTGACCGCTCGGCTTCCTCCCTCAACCACACCATCTTGGCTGGGGTTCACAGCAATGACCACTCTGTGGTTTAGAAAGGAAATTAAGATGAGAAGCCAACTGTCTTCTACAGGGGGATGAACAGGCTCTCCCCACCCAGTTTCTAGGGCAAGGTGGGGAGCAAGAGAGGAGAGAGAGACGCTTGTGTATTAAACACTAACCAATGGCAGTATTTGTTCCCAGACCCCATGAGACTTTATATGTATGGAAAATTAGCTTATGTGACAACCCTCATCCCGATCCCCATTCCTTTTGAAAATAGAAAGTGGAGTTCTTGTGATGGAATTCAGGAGTAGACTCCGGAGTGTCTATTTAAACTACACTAATTAGACTTTAAAAGACTTTGTGTGGTTTGGTGCAAGTCAGAATAAATTCTGACTAATTGAGTCCACAACTTCACTGACATACAGGCTTCCCTTTTTTATTTTTTAAGGATACATTTCATTTAATAAACATATTTATGCCTACCAGTATGTTTGTGATGGATAAGGCTATAGACTTAAACTACCACAATTTCAATTTGTTCCTTATGTAGGAAAATTGTAAATTAGAATTATTTTTTTAGAAAGCATGCATGTAATATATGTATGTGGTATGCTTTACTTACGAAGGTAAAAAAATACTAATTTTAAATCTTCTAGAAAATAGAAGAACCTAGTTTTCAAAAGCAGTATCTGTTCAAGCTCTGAAAGAAACAAGGCTGTAGTCACAATATTACATTTTTATTAAAGTGTTGTAACAAGTAGAAAGCAAAAAGTGTTTGCTACCAAAAGAATACATACCTTAAAGAGGTTACAGAAAATGAAGCACAGTAATAGTTTTCCTGCAATTTAAAATACATTATTTAAAGTACATTATTATTTGTCAGTACATCAGAGGAAGTTTTTAATAGCCTGTGTTTTTCCAAGTTATAAAATAATACATACTTACTGTAGAAAACTTGAAAATTACAGAAATGTGTTAACAAGAAAAAATGATTGCCAATAATATCACAACCTAGGTGTAACCATCTTTAACAGCTCCCCCATGTATAACTATGTATATTATATACTTTTTTACATAATTGGGATTAAACTGTAAACAGTTTTAGCTAGTTTTTTTTTTTCATTTCATAATTGCCAGATTTTCCTATGGCATTAAATTTTTCACAAAATGATAATTTTAGTGGCTATATAATATTCCATTTAATGGATGCAACTCAGTTCATTTAACCAGTCCCATATCATTGAATAGGTTATTTCTAATTTTCACTATTATTAAGTTTCCAAAATTTTGTGTACATAAATCTTCATCCATATAATTGATTATTTACTTAGGAACCTATTCCCATGAAGGAGTTTTGCTTTTAAAAAATGTGAAATGTCTTCTTCGCTTTTTACCTTTTATAAAAAGGGATTTCCTGCTATTGCACTGTATAGGTGGCAGTTGTAAGGAAAGCCAGTAAAATTACCTTTGTACAAAAGAAATTCAGTGGTTACTTTAGCTGAGAGTGAACTTTTAATATAATAAAATGAATTAGAAACAGTCAATTGTTGGAATAACTAAAACACTCTAACGTACCTAGCAATTCCATTTTTTTTCCTTAGGTTATCCTGCTGTTAGCAGGCATGGCTATAATGTAAAAGAAATTTTTGAAGGAAATGCAGAGAAATCAAACATGCCAAGTGAATAAAGGATCAACGTATTACATGGCTTGGGGTCCTTCTGTAGCAAAGGGATTGAGTTGGTCAGTATGTGACTGGCTAACATATATTCTTTAGGAATTACCCCTCATGAATTGCTGCCATATGAGGTGACACATGGTCAATACATTGTCCAGGGAAATAGTGATTAAATCAACGTCTTTCACCGTGCAGCGAGGAAGTAACAGAGTCTTGAAGCAGGTTTGGGCAGGTCAGCAGAATGTTTAAGAGAAAGAAATTTTGAAGAAGGGTGACCGTCGAGGGAGGAGAGAGTCAGTATGTGGTTAAGCTTTGCACAGAGGGTAGACTTATAAGAGGCTCATGATGCAAAGAATGTACAGGAACCAGTCAGTAGAAAGCTGTTTGCACACTCTTTATACAAAACACAGAACATTTTGTACTGGACGCTAAAGAAAAGCTGGTGGACTTTTATTGATGTGCCTATCTTTATGGAGGAGATATGGACAATTGAAAATTCAAAGCTTACTAATTGGACCTTAATAAACCATTCTCAATCAGTGTTGGTAATGTGTGGTTCTGGTCAGTCTTGTTTCTCTTGTTCAAGAGTCCTGTGGCTTGTATTGGGCGGTGTCTTCCTCTATGACTTCTTTTATTTCCCCGTTACAAGGGCTACTGAACTCCGAGGCAGAGCCATCACCTGTTCCCCAGCCTGCAATACTTCCCCCCCAATCTTTCCAATATCTAAGAGATGGTGGGTTATGTTTTACATTAGAGCAGTCCTTTAACTCTGATTTTGTAGAAACTTTGACAACCATGTATATGTTCATCAACACTAGAAGTTTAAAAAGTCCCAATGGTCTTTCTGCTTATAGATTTAATAACTAATACTAAAAGTGATACATCTCTTCCAGTAATATGCCCATTATAATCTTTTCAGGGCATTGCTAAAGCATTGGAAAGAAACAAAATGTTTATGTTACAATGAGTATTTGGACAGGAGGTCTGAATCTTTAAATCTAGGTGGACAAAAATATTAGAAATCTGATTTCTTTCAACTCATAATTTAGCTGCATCACATTCCCCCCACTTTCATTAGTAAAACCACGATTTTCTAGGCTTCTAGGCTCAGAAGCTAACCTACCTCATTCTGTTAATGAGTCTTATCCATCTTCCCTTTTACTTTTCCAATTAATGATTGCTTTAGATTCCACTGTTTATCTTCCACCTAATACTCAGCCTCTGAAATATTGGAATTGTATAACACAGTTTCTAGCCCTTCGATTTAACTCCAGCGTTTGCACTTATGTTATGTAAAGATGGTAGAAACACTAATTCTGTGCCTTTACTACACCAAATTAAGAAAAACATTTTTATGGAAATTGAAATAAATGATTTTTTTTAAATGCCTAGTGAGTTCCACTTGATCAAACATTCGTCAGAAGTAAAACTTACTAATGTGTTAAGATGGGGTAGTTTTTGACTAGGATTGGATTTAGATACCATTTGATAAAAGAAATATTCATAACAGAACCAGGACATGTCCTGAATCTACTGAAGCAGAGTCTATTCACATTTAGCATTCACCTGCATAGTGTGTGCTCTGCATAGCAGATCCTTTCATTCTTCCCTGAAAGTTATAAGGCTCAGACTTACAGATTACTTACTAATAATCTGTTTAAGGGTGAGATATGTAATAAGTATTTGAAATTATAAAAGAAGAATATGATTTGAATTGGTCAAATCCACCTATGGGGAGGGAATCCCAGGGCCTTTGGACTGAGCCACATGCCTAGCCCCTTTTATTTTTTGAGACAGGGTTTTGCTAAATTGTCCAGGCTGGCCTCCCACTTTTGATCTTCCCACTTCAGCCTCTGAGTGCTAAGATTATAGAAGTGTGCCACTGTCCCTGAAAATTCACCTACATTTGTATATGACTTATGACCTAAGGACAGCTTTTACTGTTTCAAACAGGGAAAGATTTGAGACACATGAAAATGATATGAAATGTAAATTTCAATGTCCATAAGTAAGGTTTTACTGGCGTACAGCCACACTTTCTTTCTGATTACATTTATGCCATAATGTCAGAGGTTAGTTGTAATGGGCACTGTACAGACTCATAACTTAAGCTGCTTACATTGGCCCTTTATAGAAAAACCCTGATTTCGAGCATCCCATTTTCAGTCATGTGACCTTCATTTGAGTATGAATACTCATTGGAGGATGAGAGACAAGTCTGGCACAGAATCTCTTAATCCAGCTCTAGCCTGCCAAGACAACCCTCAGTTGAGTTTTTATACTAATTTTTATTTTTGAACAATCTCACACTTATGGACAACCTGACCCATTTTATAGAACTTGTAACCATAAAATTCTGAAAGGATTCAGAGTTCATGAACAACTTGTTAATTGTCAGCATGATGCCCCAACGCCAAGTATTTACTTTGTAATGTCTACACAGAAGGACATTTTTGTCCATAACCTCAATCCATCCGTCAAAAGCAGGAACGCACCTTTTCATTCAGAGATCCCATTCAAGTTTCACCAGTTTGTCCAGTAATATCCCTTAAAGCAAAAGGATCAAGTACAACAGCACGGTTATACTTCGTTGTTCTCTTTAGTCTTGAACAGTCCATCAGTCATTTCCTGAGCTTCATGACCTTTTCACTTAAAGATCTCAGATCATTTTGGGGATGTCTCTCAACGTTGATATTTCTGTCGTTTCTTCCTGGTTACATCTGTATTGTTTATCTTTGACAAAAGAAGACAGAAGTGCTGCTGGGGTGGTCACTGCATCCTATCCAGCAGCTCGTGTGGATTCAGTGTTATAGGTAATGTTAATTTTGGTCATGTGACTAAGGCAATGTCTGCCAGGTTTTTCCACTGTGAACAAAATTCATTTAAAACATTTGGAAAAAAGCATTTTATAGAGAGGTAAGGATTACATTAATATCATGACTTTAATCAAAATTTTAATGTCTAGTTTTAGCATCCACTGATATTTATTGCACAACTAATCATCCTGATGGTTGCCAAATGATCAATTTCCAATTCATTTTCTCCTCAAAGCAAGCATTCTTCTGTGAGAAAAAGCTTTGTGTTTTCCCATTTACTCATTTACTGATACTATATAGGCTTATGGAGTCCTATCATATTTGAGTAATTAAAATGTTACTATGCCTTCTAAAAGTTTTTCTTTTAATATAATTGTAGACTCACATGAAATCATGTGGGGAGCTGTCCTGTACCCTTTACCTATAGTTTCTCCAAATGGGAATATCTTTCAAAGACAGCATGACGTTACAATCAGAATTTTGACATTGGTGTGACCAAGGCACAGAACAATTCCGTTGCCACAAAGATTCCTCCTGCTGCATTTTATAGTGGCACCTATCTCATATCTTGAACTGTAATTCCACTATTCTGTTCCTCATTTCTTCAATTACATTTTAACAATTTTTTAACAGTGAAACTCATAGTTCTTTTCTAAACAATGACTTCAGCATGTTGAACTGTAACTTCCCAATAGGCTAGTAATATAGGGAGGCTTTATGTATATAGATAGAAATTATTTAAATATATATGTATACATATATATAGTTATATATAATTATATGTCATCCAGAGAGGAGCTAAACAAATTTATAAATATTTTAAGAATACAGAGATGAGTAAAGTAGAAAGTGCAACCTCTGGGATGGAAGTTAGACCACAGGTATCCGTTGCATATATTATGTGATAAAAACACATGCACAAAATGATTTTTACATTTTGTTTTGAATTTTGGTACTCAACACCTTTCCATTGACATCAGGAAAGCCAGAACTATCTTGTTTTGTTTGACATTCCAATTTGTTTGCGTCTTATCTCTTAATTTGCATCTTTCAGAAAAAGAAATTTTGTGTCCTCCACCTTTTACAACACAGTGCTCAGTAGTACTTAATTCTTGCCTAACCAAAGAATAAAGTGTGTGACGGGCAAGAAATACTCCTTAATTTGACTAGTCTAATAAAGAGTTTCCCTCATGTTTAAGAACTTACAGTAAAAATTAAGTAGGACTTATGAATGCAAAGTCAAAGGTTTTTTGAATAATATGTTTTAACAGTACCAGTTTGTATTTTCTGAGAGGCCTGGTTTGCCCTATATTACTACGCTTTGGGAAGATTATTAATACCATATTGCATTGGTAATGGGATCTACTGCTTTCAGAAAACATTCATAGAATTTGTATTTTTTTCTTTCAATGACTGTTACATATGAGGAAATTAAATCACAGAGGAAAAATTGGGGGTCTAATACTCGTTGTTTATAGCAATATTGGATGGTTAATCACATATTCATTATATTTTAATCCATGATTCCTTACATGTACTTAGCTATCTTGGTTTCTGAAACAGATTACAAACTTCTTGAAGAGCAGCACAATATACTACATATATATTTTAATACTTAAGAAACAATAAAAGAAATAGAACATAATGTGAAGAATATATGCATGAACTGCCAGGCATATGTCATGCTCAAATTTTTGCAGGCATATGTCTTTAGTCCAAGATTTATTTATTTGGGCACCAGAGAACTTTGTACTTTCCACATTCATTTCATGATCCATATGACTACATCAAAATATGGTGCCACTTACTAAGAAGTTCTTGGTTTAGCATTAAGATCATAATCGGTATAATATTTACTAATGTCACTCACCCTTTAACTTATTCATTCATTAATTGTTTGAGAGCCTTCTATATACCAGGTGCTTATGACACGGTATATGATAAGCAAGGACTTTAATGGGCTTAGAATTTTGTAGAAGTGAGAGTGAGAGTGAAAAAAAAAAGTTAAAAATAAAATTACAAATTAGATTAAGAGCTATGGAGGAAATAATAGTATGGCAGAAATTAAAGGAAAATGAAGGGGATGAGGGAAGGCAGGCAGAGAAGCTACCTTTGAAAGGTGCTCTACGCATGCTTAATGTTAGGTTAAGAACTGTTCCCACAAAGCTCCCCAAGTTGATCCCAAATGGTACAGAGGTATGATTCTGGTCAAGCTTTTAAACTCGTACCTATTCTAATAATCAATGCACATCAAACAAATCATTACATATGAGCATGTGTCTAGTATATACACATAGGAATTTCAGGCAAGGTGTGTCAGTGCGTGGCAAAATAAAGCAAAACATTTGAGAAAAAAAAATCGAGTAGAGACAGAATGGAGCTAAAAGGTAGGAGGTAGGCAAGATGACTTGAGCAATTTTGAGTCATTTTATCCTTCGCAAGTGGAGAATGAGTTAAAGGATTTAAGTAAGGAAACAGTCCGGTTTACACTTCAGAAAAAAAGGAAGGTTGGGGCGAAAGACAAGCCCAGACTGTGTCACATTAACTGCGATGAAAAGTGAAGGGTGGCGATGGAGGTGCAGAGATGACGGAGGAGTTTGAGAGGTGTTCTGGATCTGTTGATTTTTGGGTAAGGAGGCTGTGTGACCTTGGCCATGGGGAGCATGGGAATGTGGAGTCCAGAGATAAGGAGCATAAAATGAATTTTCCTGTAAGTCTACAGGAATGACTGTC